ATCTGAATAAATCCCACCAAGAGCGCTATGACTTCTTGTACATTCCTCTATGTAGTAGGTCACTGTGGATCGTCCACGAGAATCTGTAGAATCTGATCAATGGTAGAAACTCTTTGTAAGCCAGAGGTATCCATCTCAGTTCTAGAATATTTACCTGTAATTGGCACTCCTTATGAGACTACCATGAGTCTGAATCGGACAAATATTTACTTCCCTACTCTTCCTGAACATATTTGATATGTTACATTGGAACAGAAAATGGTATTCCTGCACAAACTTTTTTTTTTTTTTTACACACTGTCTAGTTCAAAGACTTTAAAAACTTGACTCGGAATTGTCACTTTGTGTGACGTGAATTATTTGCATATTAGAGGATTTACTCAGAATTGCTTGTGTTCTTAATTCAAATATTTCTTGAAAGATGAGACTCAAAATAATTATCAATGGTTCAACATCAAACTAGGAGAAATCAAGTGGATTTGGCCACTGTCGGAGGACAGGATATTAGGCTAAACTGACCTTTGGTTTGATCCAGTATGGCTGTTCTTATTCAAGTAGGATCCATATTGGTTCCGGTAGTACTATTCAGTGTTAACAACTTGGATGACGTAGTGGAGTGCATGCTTACAAAATGAGCAGATATCAAGTTGGATAGGGCTGCAAACACTCCAAAGGCCAGGACTAAAATTCGGAATGATCTTGACAAATTGATGACTTGGACTGAAATCAACAAGGACAGGTGCAAAGTACTAAGGGATAAAAACCCAAAAAAGGATCTGGAGGATATAGTAGATCACAGACAGAATGAGTCAAAAGTGTGATGCTGTAGCAAAAAAGGCAAATGTTATTCTGGAGAGCAGAAGCGTCATGTGTAAAACACAGGAGGTAATTGTCTCCCTTTACCTGGCAATATGAGGTGTCAGCTGAAGTATTACATCCAAGTTTGGGTACCATGCTTTAAGATGTGGACAAACTTGAGTCCAGAGGAGGGCAACAAAATGACAAAAGATTTAAAAGACATGACTTATGAGGAAAAGTTAAACTGGATTTTAGTTTTGAGAAAGGTGAGTGAGGGTGGACCTGATAAAGTCTTCAAATATGTAAAAGATTTGTTATTTTTAGGTACTGCAAATCAACTGTTCAAGTTTAATTATACTGGGCCAATTTAGTATCAAGACCATTTCAGCTAAAAAAATCCTTCCCATTTTCATTTGGTCAAATATGCCTTAATCTAAAAGTACAACTGGATTACTTACTTCAAATATCATGTCTTACTAGCACATAATAGTTACTTGGCAGTTTTGGGAACTTTTATTAATTTTAATTTTCATTGTTAGATTACTGAGATCTACACAAAACAAAGGAAGCCAGATTTTTTAAAAAAAAGGTACAAAAAACACCCAGACAAAAATTAGGAAGGCAAAGCACAAGGATCAGATTTGGGTTGTTTTTAGCCTCAAAGACATATGGAATTGCAGCATCTCTGACCCTATGTCTCTGCAGAGAAACTACTTTTCTTCACTTGCTTGATTTCATTAAGCTATTTAAGATGAAGGTTGGTTGAAAATGCACTTTTTTATACTTTTGTGGAGCACTTCCAGACAATGTGTTGCAGAGTTTAAATTGTTCTTTCAAAGAAAACACACAGGCAGCAAATCATTTATTAAATTACTAAGTTTAATCACTAGAGAAAGTCAGAATTAGATACATATTATGGAAGTACTTGTATCCAATTGCCAATTCCTGAAGAAAAATGAGTCCCATAAAAACACACAAGGTACACAAGTTTGATTCATTGTTCTTGGTCCCAAATGATCTTCAACACTTCTTTGTCAACTGAATGCTATGAAAATTAAACTGCAGACAGTTACCATTTCTACAGTCAACATGCATTTTACAGTTACCCACATACTTACCAAACCTTTAAATTTATCCCTCCCTCTTAGCAATACTTTTTACCGTGTACACAATTTGCAACATGTGCTTACAGACTAATGGGCATCTTTAATGTTCCAACAGTTACTTCACTCTCATTCACATCACTTCTTCAAAGTGCATGAATTTGAGACATGACCTCCACGTAATTGCTATAGTAAAATGGACTTATGCGGTAATGACAAGTCTACAGACTCCCAGTATCCTTTCAGAAAAATAAAAATTTGCTGTTTGAAAGGAAAATTTATTTCACTCTATTATTGAAACAATATTCTATCATGCTATGAAATAATTATACATGAATCTCAGATGGCATTTTCACCGTAGTTCATTATATTAATGCAAGAGAATACAATGCTTCAAGATTGCAATATGAAGCACCAGAGAATGAGTGTGGCCCAGGAGAGTGTTCAATACTAATGAGAGTATCATGAAGTAAAACGTTAATCCATACGTCTCAGAACAATACTGCAGTCCAAAAGAATTGGTTGACAGATTTGGTGCCACAAATGGCAAACAGATTCATAATTATTTAAAAACATCAATTTAAAGGAAAGATTCATGAACTTTACTACATAAGGCAGGAGTGAGGAACCTAAGGCCCGGGGGTGGGATGCAGCTCCGGGCTTGCCTGGATCCAGCCTGAGGCTCGGCGTTCCCACGCTGGTGAAGGGTGGGGTTTTTCTTCTCTTTTTTTTTTTTTTTTGGTTTCTCACTTGTGTGCAGCCCAGACTGATTTTTCTGTGGGTCAGTGGCCCTGGCTCTAAAAAGGTTCCCCATCCCTGATATGAGGTATACTCACCGATTTGACAGTAAGCAATCTGCAACTTTTATACATGTACATAACTCCCAATTGTGTTTTGGATTTACAGGCCAGATTAATTTTAATTCCTATACAAGTGACCTACCAGGTTCCCAAATGACAAGTTTGCACAGGCATATCACAAATGAGAAAGCTGAATTGTGTGCTTCCACTTTCAAGCAAGTGAACATTTACAATTTGAATTCCTGTGCATAGATTAGGAGCCCTTGGTTAAGGTGTACTTCTAAAATTACAAATGTTATCACAGCTCTGAAAGCCAGTGTTTTCTTCTATAACAAAAAACCAACAAGCTATTATAATCGAGAATGAATTATTAAAACTTATACAAGATGAACCTTTAACCGGGTTCTAAAAAAGAGCTAGATAGATTCATGGAGGTTAGGTCCATCAATGCTATTAGCCAGGATGGGTAGGAATGATATCCCTAGCCTCTGTTTCTCTGGAGGTGGCTGACGAGAAGATCACGTGATGATTACCTGTTGTGATCCCTTCCTCTGGGGCATCTGGTATTGGCCAGTGTCGGCAGACAGGATACTGGGCTAGATGGACCTTTGGTTTGATCCAGTACGGCCGTTCTTATGAGACTGTCGCTCTAATTAGCTAAACTGAGACGACGGTTTTACTTTCTATTTGACTATTCCTGGCTGTACTATAACCACGAGACACGACTTTACTTAAAAGCTGATTCAGAAAAGGTTGAGAAAAGGGCACATGATTAGGGGTTTAGAACGAGTCCCATATGAAGAGAGATTAAAGAGATGTGGACATTTCACCTTAGAAAAGAGGAGACTAAGAGGGGATATGATAAGAGGTCTATAAAATCATGACACGTGTGGAAAAAGTGAGTAAGGAACAGTTATTTACTTATTCCCACAATATAAGAACTAGGGAAACAAACAAAAGGAAATTTTTCTTCACTCAGCGCACAGTAAACTTCTGGAACACCTTGCCAGAACGTGTGTTGATGGCTAGGATTCTAACAGGGTCCAAAAAAGAGCTAGACAGATTCATGGAGATTAGGTCCATCAATGGCTATTAGCTAGGATGGGTAGGAATGGTGTCCCAGCTTCTGTTTCTCTGGGGGTGGGTGTCAAGGGAGGGATCACGTAAGGATTACCTGTTGTGTTCCCTCCTTCTGGGGCAACTGCTATTGGCCACTATTAGACAGGATACTGGGTTGGATGGACCGTTGGTCTGACCCAGTATGGCTGTTATGATGTAGTTTGCATTAACATTTGCTCTTTAATGCGCTGTAGTCTTGGAGTAAGTTGAGTTTATTTTTAAAGAGCACCTAAAAATGATCACAGAATATTTGCGTACATATACAAAACTTTATCTTCTGAACTGAATTTCAAATGAAGCACTCAAGATGCTCAGGACACTGCACAACCAAAACCCCCAAACCATCAAGTCACCTGCCAAGCAGATTAAGCATAATCAATCAATAACAGAGGGGTACAAGGAGACAGTAAGGAGGAATATGAGGGAAAGGCAATAAATATGGGGTAAACTAAACAGAGGAAAACATCTGTAGGAGTTTTGAAGTGCAGAAAGGGGTTAAGATGGATTTCAGAGTCTAATCCCATGGCACAGGGCCTACTACATCAAATAAATGAGAGTGGGGATCTTAAGTCAGTGATATTACATTTGATCTGTAAACAGAAAATTTAAGTCTAGGTTAAATTATTATGAGAGCATAAGGGTCATGAATATCCAATCCCAAAATAAGCAAATATCAAAATCCTATATAATCATTTCACTCTGGTAAAATGACCTCTCTTGGTGGCAAGTGAATTACTGAAGTGACTGCTGAATCCATGTTCATGTGTCTATTAAATATCTCAATACTGTCAAAATGGCTATCAAAACTTTTAATCCCCATTTCCATTAATCAGGTGTCTGTAAAAGTATAGAACCACTAGGTGTAGTTAGAATCATTGTACTTTAACTGTTAAGTTCTACAAATGTATCCACTACTGAAGACAGCAACATATATCCTACATAACAAAGACTTATTCACATTTAGGTGATCAAAGATTCTCTCCTCATGTATTTAAATGGAATCTGAACACAATATTTCAAATAGGAATATCAGGTACTTACAGATTAAACTAACCTGTACTGGCAGTGCTGTGGGATTTTTCTTCTCTACCAGTAAGTAGCAAATGCTGAAATTCTGCTGCTAGTTAACAAAAACACAAGTTGTATTAAACCAAGGAGTTTATCCATAATTTAGTTCTCATTTAAAAAAAAAAAAAAAGAGTCAAACCTCAATTGCTAGGGTCCCTTTTAAAAAAAATGGATTAAAGATAGCTATAAAATTATGCTTAATTTGCCCTTAAATTTGATTTAAGTTTTTTAACTCATGTATCTGACAAGTGAAATGTGATAAATACCTCTTGGATGAACCTGAATGTCAAGGAATTACAAGTTGTAGTTGCAAGAGTGACCCTATTAAGAGCACTCAATGAACACAGATTGAGTACACTAAATTTCTTAAATTTCACCTGCTTCACTGAGGCAATAAAGTTGAAGTGGTTTGTGAATTCAGTTTTACTTCATCTTGGTATGTGATTCGTAAATCAGGGAACAGAGAAATGCATTCCTTTGAGTATATGTGGGCTTTTCTAATGTATGATGAAAATTCCTACATTCTAAACCAAGAGGTTGAAGTTGGGACTAGTAAGTGGCGTTAGTATGAGCAACAAAAGTGTAATTCAATTTAAAAAAGAATTACTCTCGAAGTGCAACTAAATGTATACTGAATTTAGCAAAAATAAAAAGGAAACCCTGAGGAAACATATGCCTGAACTTGATCTCACCTGACCTATCAACTCCCCTGCCATAATGTGTCTTCTCTCTGTACCACCCATGAAGGAGAAGAGGGGAGGAAAAAAAATCCCATGGCCTCAAAATCAGATTTATTCTTAGTGTATTATTCTAGGAAGCCCAAAAATGAGCCAGCTATTATATCAAACATGATCTCATACAAGAGACTGTTACACTGTCAAACTGTTGGTCGTACCTTTTAATTCCTAGTCAAGATAAACCTGTATCGATGTTTTAAGAGGAGTTTAGCACCACTAAAAATGGTATTATTAAAACTGATGTTTTCTGCTATGAGATGGTGGGGGAAACCAATGCATAGACTTCCAGTGAAACGTGTAGTATCCTAACATTGAAGATACACCATCCTATTAGATACAATGTGAGTTAAGTACTTGGCTGAATAAAAAGGCTGGATCTTACAACCCTATACACTATGTCTGATGATCTGAATGAAATGCAGATGTTGCAGTAGAAATCCTGCAGATAGTTCATCTTCCTCCTTTACTCTGAAGCTTTATGTGGGCACCATTTGGCCAATCAAGGACTGGTCAGGACTCCCAACTGTGAATCTTCCACACCACATAAGAAAAAGACTGGGGTTGAGAAGGGAGAGACACAGTTTGCAGCCACCTGGGGGAGTTTGATGTATTTCAAGTCTATGTTGGCCAAAGGATCAAGAAATTGTGGATTAAAAGTCTGATTCTCTTGCACCAAAGTCCTCAGTATATTTAGGTCACTTGACCAACAATGAAGTTGCATTTAAACTTCAGATACACACTAGAAGAAACATGATACCAGAATCATAATCACAGCTTGATGAATAATCTACTTCCTACTCAGATAGAGATTTGTAGAGGACTGCCATACAAGAAATGTATTTAAACTGAATGACAACAATCAGATGATTAAATGTGTCTTCAAACTCAACAAGATTATTTCCAAAGCATCTATCCTCAATTCTTTTCCCACTCCCAAATTTAATATCTGGACACATTTTTATGGCAAATACAAAAATGGACCATCAGTACATGTGTGCCAGAAAGAGGTCACTAAATCTACTAACCATGGCTATTGCAGTGGTTCTCAACCTGCAGCCCAATTAGCTTGCAGTCCATGTGACATTATCAGTACATACAAGTAGTACTTGATGCAGCCCACAATGATTAACATGTTAAAAACCACTGTGCCATATGATATTCTAGTTACTTTAGTGTAACCATTTTGAAAACAGGTAGATAGGCATTAAGTAATGTCCACAGCACTTAAGGGACAGCATTTACTAATATACAAAGTGTTCTATATAAGGCAAATATCAGAATGTTCTAAAACCACCAATAACTTAATGAATGGCACATATTTTAATTGTCACTCTTATTGTTTACCTTGCATGTGATGAGATATATGTGTAAGTTCAAATTATTGCAATTCTAGTCCATACAAAAAATATAGGTCCTTGTAGCTTTAAATTGAATTTTTCTACTCTATACTTCCATTAGGATGTAAGAAAATAAAAGTAATATTTTAAGTGATTCTGACAAGGCTCTCAGGAAAAAAAATAGAAGCAAAAACAGAGCAACATAGTGCCACACAGGGTATTAGTAAGGACATGCCACTTTGAAATAGGGAAAATTCTTGGATAAAACCGAAGATTTTCTGGCAATGTCCTTAGATCCACACTCAAGGATGTCAGACAAGCTTCCATTAGGAGACAAGATTTTAAAAAACAAAACGAAACAAAAAAACCAAACTGGATCTATGTTTAGAGATTTTTGAAACACTTAAGATTTGTTCAAAAAGTCTTGGAGAGATAGCCAGCCTACTTAATTAGCTTCATTAATATGAGTCCTACACTTGACAGGTAAACGCTTTTGCTGTTGTATATACTTTGGATTTTGTTATTTCCACTACAACTTATATGATGACATGGGTCTCTAAGGTGCCACCGGACAACTTGCTTTCAAGATTGTTAGGTTGATCCAGGAGTGGAGGAAAAGCTCCCATTAAATAACGTAAAGCGGTGTGCATCTGTTGTAGTTAGAAGGAAAGCAGAGCCTCTATACCTTTTAGGTCAGAGAACACCACTGAATATTTAATGAAAAATGCAAACTACTCTTTTATTGCTTTTAAATACACGGCTTCAACTGTGGCACCACATTAGGATAATACTGCCATGCCTGCTAAGTCACTGAGACCCTAAATATTTCAAATTCTTACAGAAATCTCAAAATGAAAAACTCTTGAAAACCATAAAACTCTTTTAGAGGAAGTCAGGAACATGGAGGAAAGAGCAAAAATTATGTTTGAAGACCAAAGATTTCTGATACCACACTGAATCAAAAATTATAGGAAAGAAAAGTTCAAATCCACACAATATCTTGCAGAATCATTCCAGAGTGCCACTGAGTGCGTTTTTCAGAAGAGGATAGCAAACAGGGATGTAAAGAGGTAACCAGTTACCTGGTAAGCACTAGCCTTACTGGCATGCTTACCGGGATAAATGGTTAACTGGAGCTCAAAGCAACCCCTCTGCCTGGTCAGGCTGGAGCAGCCTCTCATCTGCTTTGTGCTGTAGGTGTAGGGATGTTCTAACCTGGCTGGGCCCCATCACACTACAAGCCACTTAACTGGTTAAATTAATAGTTTAACCAATCAACATTTTAAATAGGATTTTACATCCTCAATAAAGTGATTAGTCTTCCTCCAGAAACCAGTTTTTATTAGGGATGTTAAAATGCGTTTATTTTTGCGGTGTGTGTGGAGTGCTCCTGCCTGCACCTCTCCCCCCTGCACTGCTGCTTGATACAGTAGCAGCACTAGGGGGAGCAATTGGCTCCCCCGCACCTCTGTATTAGAGGCAGCAGTGCGAAGGGCAGGTGGCTCTGTGAGCACCAGCTCCCCTCGCATACCAGCTTCTGCCCCCCCAACCCAGCGTGGGGATTGGCGAGTGGTGCATGTAACCACGAGGGATAACTGATGAGCCCAGGCTCATTGGTTAACTGTGTACATGTTCACATCCCTAATTTCTACTAGGATTCCAAGAAGTATGGAAAAGAAAATATCCTTATAGTGAAAGGGAAAAGAAAGAGCTATACTATTTGGCCTCATTCATAAGACAGATACAAGAAATACAGAGACTCATGTGTGGAAGGGGGTTGGTATGGTGAAGCAACACTTAATTTACATTAAGAGCATTAGTATAATAGAAAAATAATAGAAATAGAAGTGCAAGTGAGTGATTTTTCATAGCCATCTTAAACTAGTATCTTCAAACAAATAGAATGTTTATTAGATATAATCCAAGTGTGGATCAAAGGATACTTATCTTTGTAGAACTGTATACCTTAGATAAGGCAGAGTGTATACATTAATCTACATGTGAACATTTCTACTACAAAATACACCTGAACACTTACCAAACACTAAATTGTTTCCATCCAAGTACTTGTATCAGTCTATTAAGTGGTGACATGGCAGAGTGAATCAATATTAACACACTCTCTGGCTATTTTTCATTCATTGAGTCTTAAAAGTTTTCAGATACCTGAGCAACACCTACAATACACAACTTATTCAATTTTCTTCAGCAAGAAAACTCTTTCCTGTGACCAGTTTATTCAAACAAGCAGAGAAGACAGTGATGTGACCTAACAAGCTCTACATGAATAAATTTAGCAGAAAAATGCTGTCGACTGTATTATCATGTAGTGCTATGCGTCAATCTTCACACTGAAAGAATTAGGAACACAACACATTTTTTAACAATGACTTGAATACAATCAACATTCAGTGCACCTGTCTCACAAATTTGAGCATTAGTGAGACTAATAATTAAGTTTCTGGTGCTAACCAAGAAGGATCAGAAATCCAGAAAGGGCTCAGAATGCAAGTGTCGGGAACTTGGGCAGGATTTCGAAAGGAAAAAGGCAACCAGGCAGAAGGAACAAGTTCTACTCTTGTAGATGACAGGCAATAGTATTCGAGAAATTGTGAACCACAAACAGACTTGTGAAAGCTATACTAGTTAACTATTACTTAAAAAAAAAAAAAGAAATTAAACAGTTCCTATGGTGCATCACAAGCTGTCTTTAAAAACTTATCTGCTGCACCAATTTCAAACAGCCTAACAAACATTAATTTTTTGTTTAATTTGGACATTGTAAGAGTCAGTGCTGACACGAGACAATCAGATTACACTGGGACTAAACCTGTGCTTGGGGCTGAAATTGTCCAGATATAAAATACCTTTGCAAGAAAACGGCCAAGGGGCAAGTGTGCTCAAATAGCAATTTTAAAATTATTTGAAGATACTAAAGTATCTCATTTTCTAAATAAGAGTTCAGGTTTAACTTCAATATTGTTGATATGGTAATGGCAGTTATTAAACACGTATGTTACACTGCACAACCCTCAAAATTGGCAAAGAATGATGTGATTTTAGAGTACATGGTGCAATACACCAAACTTTACAATATCATGCCTTTTTAACAGGCCAATTTCAAGAAGAAAACTTTCAAACTGACATTGCTACAAAATCCACAACTTCAATTTCTCATTCCTCTTTTCTTTTTTACCAACTTAAATGTGTATTTCCTCCTTGCAGGGCTCTATATTAATATTTACTTTTATGGTGTAACTTTCATGGTATAACATGAATACAACAAATTAGATCACACTTTTTTATGGAAAATTATTATTTAGGATTCTATAAATATAGCTAATTTTATGCCTTCAGTTCTGAGTATTATAATTATTAATATTTTAGGCCTGATAACTAAATGGATTTAAAAGTGTTATGATGAAGTTTTTGGATTAAGGAAGCAATATTTCAACACATTTTTATCAGAAAAAGTAACAGCATCACCCAACAGATTTGTTCATGTAGGCTACATGTAGCTACATTAAAAGATTACACCTTCAAAAAAACAGTGCATGGGATTTAAAAAAAAAGGACCAGGCTGAAGGATAAAGGGGCAAAAGTTGCAACAACATTCATCTTAAATACTCCTTCCCCCCAATCTCTTCAAAAACACCACAGCAAAGAAGTATGAATATTAATATAGAGCCCATCTACCAAAAGATTATAAAAATCCTAAATTAAATTAAATTTAGGGGCCTTCACCAAACTTGCTGCAAGTTTGGGGACATAAATATCCAACAGCCATAAAGCTGTGAAAGCCCCCAGAATGAATAAAATAAATCCCACTTGCCTCAGACTGAACAGGGCAACACTGAGACTCTGCCTCAGCCTGTCCTATGGCAGGGCTATAGGAAGAAGAAAAATTTAGATTTTAGAAAAACATAACCGAATTAAGTGAAAGACATGCATTCAAAATTAACAAAATTCCAGTGATCAAGCAAACAAAAAAAGTTGCTGCCTTAACATTTGTTTGTTAATTCCAAACTAAGCCTTTTCTACTTTGACTACTTCTGAGTTGTACAAAATTAAGATGTTAGGTTACTTCCTTTGTAGCTTGATGACTGGAACATAACTATTTTCTGTTTTCCCATAACTGATGGCATTTACTGTTCTAGCTCCCAAAAAGTAATGTTAGGTGAAAATTCCATCAGCCACTGAAAAGTTTACCTTCACCTTAGTGTCTTCTGAAGTAGCTAGACCAGTACAATTATTAAGACATTTAGTACCAGACCAAAAAAAATTTAAATCATTTTAGGAATTGCAACACCAGCTGGTGGGCTCCTATATTAGTTTCAGCTTCTGTAACCAGAAGTCATTTTATTGCCCGTTTCACTGTTGATAACTAAAGTCTTGAGTTTTTTGGTCTTGTGTTCCGAATTATCTGCTTCCTGCAAAGTAATTTCAGATTATATGTTGTATTTTGTACTTCATTTATTAGTCATAGAAAAAATTAATTACCACTGATTTGAGTGCACTACACAGGTAATTTGCTCTGCAGTGCCATACACTCAAAATGAGTGCATGCACCATGCAAACCACAGAAGCAGTTGAATACTTTCTAGAAGCTTGACTGTGTCCTCCTATGCATGCACAGAGCAAGGGTTAATTATCCATGTTAATGATCAGATATACATCCCATCCTCATACCTATTACCAGCATCTTGAATCTATAATCTGAAATAGAGGAGCAATGATTTGTAAAAAAGAGTAAAAATCTAGCCATCAGGAAATCTTATTAAATTATTCAAAGGAAAGAGTTCACTCACAAATCAAAGACCAGAACTAGTCAACTTTGTAAAATCTAACTTGAATACTGTGCTGAAAGGTGGTTTAGCAACTCAAGTAAGTTTACCAATCTGGCTCTTTCAAATGTCTTTCTGTATGATCTTGGGCAAGTCACTTGTTTTCTGTCCCTAAAATGGACAGAATGCCTCTCTTACAGGAATACCATGAGTATTTTTAAAATGATTTAGATCTAATGAAAAAAGTTAAATCTTCTGCACAAACTTGGACGTTCCTCACCTGTTTCCAAACATTTATCTGCAAACTGTTCACTAAGCTATTTCTATCTACGCAAACATTTGGTTACATGGTTTGCTGGTCTACACAAACATTTGGTTACATGGTTTGCTGATCAGTCACCAAACTTATTGATTCACAAATTCTCATTTTCAGTATGAGATTTGGCATGCTAAACTTAAAGGGAGGCAGGTTAAATGGTTAAGATTATTTTTTCTCAGGAAATGCTACTGCAATTCCAACTCTCTAGACATATATGAAACTGGGGGCCATTAAGCAAATTCTGTAAGAATATTCCCACTGAAATAGAAGTGGCAGCAATTCAAGGTAGCTGCATTACAGATCTAACAGTGTACAGAAGACTAGGGATGTTAAATTTAGGTTAATCAGCTAATTCAATAGTCGATAAGGGCGCCTCCATTTCAAAGGTGAAAGCGCTGTGGGGAGGCATGGGGCCAGCAGGGGACCCAAGCAGTCCCCCACTGGCTCTGTGTTTCAAAGCGGCAGTACCATATGGAGCCTGGAGTCAGCAGGGGACTCCCCAGCTGGGCCTGGGCTGCACGCAGTGTTTCAAAGTGTCAGACCTCAGGTTCCCGCCATTGCTGCTTCTTTCCGATAGAAGCAGTAAGGAGGGGAGTGACTAGTGTGTCGACTATCCGATAAGCATTTGCTTATCAGATAGTTGATTAGTTATTCACATCCCTACAGAAGACTAGCATGTGTGTCTACCCTAATAAACATTGCTAAGCATATTTCTGTGTAAGAGTTTTTATCAATATTGTTAAAAATATAAAATGTATCTAAATGTTTCTAACCTCTAAAGAGTTAAATAATATTTGTGAGCTATAAAATAACACTAGCCAGCCAAACAGCGATTAAATAAATTGAAATTACTTTGGTCTAAAGGACAAATGATGACAAATTTGTAGAGCATGATTAAGTGAGTAGTGCATGTACTATTTTTTTGACTACTCATCCTTCGGGGGAGGGGAGTGGAACAGAAAATAAGTTAAAAAAATGGATTATAGAAATGTAGCAGGTGAGAAAAAGGGATTTGTTTGTGGAGGAAGTGCTTTCAGCATTGTAAGAGTTTAAGAAAAAGATAGAAGTTTCACAGTTTTACAGGCAGAACACAAAATCAAGATATCAATATGAATATTTTTAGGAGTGGTATAAAAAAAAGTGACTTTTTAAAATGATCCCTAGGACCATACAGAAGACAACCAGTTTCCATCTGGAGTACAACAATGAACATATTAAATTATGACTATAAAGAAATCAAAGTGTAAAGGGCTATAGGGGGAAAAAAAAGACCTGAAAATTCAAGGCCAATTCATAATATATTTTCAAGCAAACTCCTGAATGAATCTGCTTATTTATCCTACATGTAAGCTGACAGATGTCCAGTGGGTAAAATGGTGTCTAGAAATATGCTTCTTTACAATATCTGGAGAGTGTCACTGCTTTCTTAAGATTAGTACAGGGTTCTGGACACTTGCCCAGTAAATTTTTGAATTGTTAAACAAAGGCCATATAATTAGAAATTAAGATGCTAAAGAACCAGAAACATTGTATAATGAGTTCCATGGGGCAACACACTCGATTGGAAGAGAGCACAATATTCTGGATATCTTTAAATTAAAGATTTCCAGACTGAAAAGACAGAGCATGAAAGTAAAGCACTGTCAAATTTCTGCTACAAACTACAGCTCTAAAAAAACCTCTTCCAAAAATAAGACTAAGCCACCATGCTTAGTGTTACAGTTAAAAATACAGGAAATCCTACTATACTGATGACCGAAGTGGAAGTAAAGCATGTCAGCCTATGCTATGGAAAAACAAGGAAAGAATATCACCACAACAGAAGTGGCATAGATGACAAGATATAACCTGAAGCTAAAACTTCTATTTAAAGTTGATCTGCAAAGGAAAAGTAAGATTTGCCATTTTTTGCTCCTTGATGATTAAAAGGACCCTTTCCTCACAAAAATTTATTACCCCGTGTTTGTATTTTGTCATTAGAAATTTAGCACCTCAACACTGGAAGACTAGTCAACTAAAGAAGCAAGATTTAAGTTGTAACAAGGAAATTAATCTGAGTAACATAGTAGGGGACTAATTCAGACTCAAAATTCTGATTTGTTAGCGAAGTAATTAAGACAATTGGGAGAAGAGTCTCAAAGGTTCGACACACCTGGCACTTCAAGGGCCGAGAAAACTCCCAACCCAACCAACAGGAGTCATCTTGTTTCCAATGACTACCACCATTCAAGTAAGACCAGATTTGAAATTCTCAATATTTATGGTAAAAGCAGACAACAAAAATCCTTACTTGGGGGCTCTATTACACATCATAGAGGCAAAACAAGGCAAAGGCCTATTTTTCCTTTTTGCAGGTCATTTTCAACACAGTCACTCACTGTGTGCCATGCACCTAAGCTTCTAGAAGTTTTCTTCTGAATGGCTCCTGAGGTTCATGCATCGATGCAGTCGCACACCTAAGAAAATGATCTGAAGAAAGAACTAACACGATACATCTGGCACTAGGATTTATATCAGCCAGAGATCACATTTACATCTTGCTAACATGTGAAAGTGCCAATGTTACAAATTACCTAAGATTTATTTCAGAAAAGAAGAAAGGCCTATTCAAGAAACCTGCACCACTTAATTTACCAATGATAGGTAAGATGTAGCCTGTAACCTCATTCTTAAATATTTTTAAGTTAGTTAATAAGTGTACAGGTCTAAGTCTACTTGCTTAGGAGATTACAACATGCAGCTAAGAAGTGACAAGTTCAAACAAGAATTCAGAGTATATCAAAACAGCAGCAGTAAATATGCGTTTATTACACCAATAACTACCATGGCATGCATTTGTACAAACCTTGCAGGCAGTTGTCCACAGCTGGTCATGAATAAAAAGGCATATAAATTTTTGTCTTGTTTTATTACAATGAAGTTTATAACAGTACAGAAAAGTCACATGACCTTAGTGGGTCAGTTTACTTAAACCCTGCAACAGGTGGAACTCTAAATACATTAAATATTGTTACATGTCCAGATTTTTAAATGTACACGTAGTTGGGAATAGTTACAGCCCTCACCAAGCTAAGTTGGGGACGTGAAGTCCAACAGCACTTGAAGTGCTGTGAAGGCATCACTTTACAAATAGCAACATAATGTTACAGAACTTGCCTTTAAGATGGTATGTTCATGTAATTCCAGCGCCTTCACAATTTAACGAACCATATTTACTATACTTCACTTCTAAAAACCTAGATGAAACATGAAAAAGAAGCCATACAGTATAAATTGCAACATCAGGAAAAGTTCCTGTTTTATTATTCCAAATAAATTTTTCCCATGTAAAATAAGAATGTCCAATAGTTCCTTGCATGTGGGAAGATATTTTTTTAAAGTCACAATGAAGCCTTAACTGACGGAAGCTTGGCTATATTAACAGCACAAGATGAGAAAAGGTTTAATCTCCAAACCTATTAGACTGTGTGTAGTAGCATCAGTAGCGGCCACCTTGCGACATTACAGGAGGTCTCATTCCCATTGGAGGTCGAGGAGGTCCACCTTGGTAAGGGGGCACCATTGGAGGTCCCTGACCATATGGAGGCATTGCCCCAGGAAGGTATCCTGGCATGCCCTGGTGATGAGCACCATACTGACCTATAAATGAAACATTTTAAAGACGAAAGTAAATATATCTGTACAAGTTTTCTATTAAAAATGTTATTTTAAAATAAAGCTATCTTAGTAGATCGAACTTTTGTCTTCAACCCTTTCAATGTTAAAAAAAGACTGAAGTTTATTTTTGTAAAAACATGCTTATTTCAAATTAACTGCTGCTCCTTAATGAAAAAAAATTCAGTGAAATCAAGTGCAATAGGAAAAAGTATGATTACCATGAGGAGGCATAGGAGGTCTCATTCCCTGCTGCTGTGGAGGAATTCCAGGTTGTGGTGGCATCATACCTCCAAGTGATCCAACTGATGGATTGCCCATGGATACCTGTCCTGGTCGAGGGAGATTACGTTGATATTTGGGCAACTGTGCCCTTCTCTCTTCCTAAAAATAACACCATACATAGACTGCTTTAAACACAGCAGAGAAAAAGCAAGGGAGCTGAAATATTAATTTACATATTGGTGCACAATGTCCAGATAAATGAGACAGAATTCATAAAATAGAATTCATTAAAGGTACCTTCAATAATAGAACTTTTAATTTCTTATTCTAAAATTGTCAAGTATATTACCAATAGTATGTCTTAGACAAATTACCACATAATGCAAGTTCAACTATCCCGTCAATGCTAATATTTTGCGTATAAGGAGCCAACCCCTCTCAGGGCTGAAAAAGAAGAGTCAATTTCCCCTCAATGGTGGTAGTCTCTCTCTCTCTCTGTTTCTACTGCCAGATAACAGAATTACATCACGTCATCAGGCTCCTCAGTGAAGCCAAAGCAGCCAGAGAGAGGGGGGTAGGCGAGCATAGCAAGCAGAGGGTGCAACTCTCTAGCATGTAAAAAAATCTGAAAGGAATTGTGAATCTAAAGAACAAAACTAAGCGTAACCTTAACTCTAAGGATGCACTTTGTCTTGATATTTTTCAGTTTTGAAACTGAAGAACAGCATCCACGTAACTGTTTTTCATATTTGTCAGCACTTAATTGCTCAGTCTCACCTGTGCCAAGCTGGCTAGCTATGTGTTTGCATCTGGTACAGTTCTAATAGATATACACCAGACTTGAGATGTTGGAGCCAATTAAGGCAAAGCCACACTGAGGCAGGCAGATTCTTAGGCCTTGTCTACCCTAAAAGGAAGAGGACGCCCCACTGGTGTCAGGTTCTCTTCCTTTTGCAAAGAGTAAGGGAAGCCGACTCTCACTGGCCTCCTACTGTGGGAATGCCGCCAAGCTTGGCTTCAAGTAAGCCAACTCCAGCTATGTAAAATACATAACTAGAGTTGCATACCTTAAGCTGAGCAGACAGGTCTAGTGTACTAGCAGGCTCTAGTCTTAGAGTCAATGCAACAGGTAATGTAGCAGTAACTCTGTAGTACACTATTTGCTGCCTTGAACCTGAAGATATGCCCCCTAACATGAAATACTGATGAATTAAATGTATTTTAACACTCCTGCCGCCATTGAAGTCATCCTGGGATAGAGAAAAGTTAGCCACATGACAATTTCAGAGGAAGCATGAGTTGCATTTATCAACTTAAGAAAAACTGTTTTAACTTACCAGTGATATATCCTCATCTGGATGGATCAACTTACTGGTTGCACTGGTTGTTGTAAGGGTAGCAGGCTTACTTGTTATAGATGTAGCCGGTTTAGCTGCAGTACTGTTTGTTGTGCTAGTGGTTGAAGCTGTAGACTGTGTATAAGCAGGGAATGTAGGTTTGGGGGGCTCTGTGGTTGTTGCAGGTGTATTATTCAAAGGTTTGAAATCAGTACCCACTGGTCCTGGAACAGCTGCCTGAGCCTGTGAAATACAAAATTAATCAGTAGACATACTTAGTTTTCAAAATAAGATTCATTTACCTGTTTGACATCTGAAATGTTCCAATAATATACACAGTTAAAATAAGCTGGTCCAAAGTAACATTCAGCCTCATCACATAATACCAAAGCAACTGAAAACAAAGACAAAATAAAACCTAGTACACACACTAAGTCTAAATGTTGCAGATCAAAAGCCACAGCTAACACAAAAGATACAAAATAAAAACTGCATATACATTCTGCTAAATTTCTTGTATCGTTTCACTCAAAATATTCAATTTGATATATAAATCTTTCATGGATCTCTCTGCTTTAGTAAAGACAAGCTATGCTGAAGTAATCTTCTATTCTGTTATTACAAATTAGTGTATTTTAGTAATCATTAGTGAATACAACGCCAAGTGTTAGCATTCAGTAATGAAATTAAATGTTTTGAAAATCTTGGCTTTAACTAAACCTTTCAATATAAGAGCTCTGACACATCAGCCTTTAAAAATTAAAATGAATTTTGAAGCAGTCTCTCCATAACAAAAAAACACTGCAATAGCCTGCAAAAGGTCTCAAATACCTGTCTACAGCTCTTCCTGAAATTTTAGCCTCATTTATGACTGAAGAACTAAGTGAAAGCAAATGTGAGGTCCACTGTGAAAGACAAGAGGCTGGAGTCAATACTATCTATGTTTACATTAGAGACAAGAAAATTTTGCTTTAAAAGTAAAAATTACAAAAATGAGTTTCACTTGAGAGAATGCTTTGGCAGTAGCCAGCATACATTTTCAATCTTCCATTTAACCTTCTATCAAAGCCAAATGTTTCAATTTTAAAACATAATGCAATTAGTTTCCCTATATTGTGATGCATCAGATTAAACAGCATGAACTAAAAAAGTTTCACCATGCATCAAGCTAACCACTGCCCACTAAAATGCATTTAGCTACTTTCATGCTTTTTTAACCCTTCAGAACCAGGATGTAGTATTTCTCATTTTCTCCCATTCTTCAAAGAGGAATTGAACACTTTAAAGTGTGTATTCCTACAAGATGTAATGCATAATTATAAGGATTTTGTGGTTTTACCAGCTAAACATAATCAGGAATATAACAGCAATTATCTGAAGATGTTTAGGCAGACAATTTCAGATTTACATAACGGTCCAAAGGGTTAAGTTGCAAAGCAATTTTTTAAAACTGCAACTTCCTGCGTACTTGTGCTGTGCTAGGAAACAGAGCTTTAGAAGATGCTGACAGATTTTCTGAATTGGATGAAGCTGTACTTGAACTTGTGACAGGTGTCCCCATCTGTAGCATAAAAGAAAGGAAACAGTGAACAGTCTCCAAACAAATGGGTGGAAAATATCCAAATGGAAGGATCTCTCAACCAAGGGACTGAATTTTTGTAAATGATTATCTTCTCTGGAGAAGTCCAAACTGTAAAAAGGACACTTGAAAGTTTCTGTACATTCTTGATATCAAGTAAAGAATTAAGGAAGTATTTATTTACAACAAAGGGAATCAAACAATAATGGTCACAAGCCTCCAAAAACAAAAAAAAACCCTCATTTAAGCAGCTTTAAACTAACACTTTTTACATAAATAATTTCAAATCAGCATATGATTCAAAGTTAAGCATCACTGCCTTCTTTTGCTTCTATATTATGTTACCAATAAGGCTTCCTTGTTCAAATACAGTAAAAAAAGTACAGAAAAACAAGAGTGAGGCAGCTTTGCAATCTTAATTTTTTATCTGCTAATAGACAGTGGTAGCCTGCTATCAAAAGACCACAAGTCAGAATCCTGATTAAAACAAACCATGGCAAGACTTTTGCATTGTGAACTTGAGTGGAAGATTTAAAAAGTCAAATCTCCATCTGCTGACAGACAAATATGTTCAGGCAATCACTCCCCTCCCAAACTGAAGTAATGCCAGAAAGCTTCACACACCACCTGCTGATAAAAGTTATACCTGGTTCCCTAGTTGCTATAGGACACTGGAGACAAGGGAAATAAAAAGTGAATAAAAATCCTTAAAAAAATAAATAAATAAATAAAAAAATCAGCAGCCTAGTATTAAACTTCATTATAATAAAGAACCGAAGTGAGAAGCTTTACCAATTACTTTTGTAATATCTTCAACGAAAAGTACTAACAGTCACAAGTCATGATGATTAATTTTATAGTCCATTATAAAGTACAAGATTTGGTAGTTAGGTCTCCAGAGGTCACATTACCTGTCCTGCACTGGGGAAAAGTGGTTTTGTAACTGGAGGCTGTGGGGTGGGTGCTGCTACAGCAGGAGCTGGTGGTCTATTAAGAATGCCTGGTGCTGTCACAGGCTGGGCTTGTGTCATGGGAGGCATACCAGGACGAGGACCAACAGGCGGTGGCATACCTATGAAAACAGGACATTTTAATAAAAATTCAAGCACAGATTAATAGAAACATTCCTCCTGAGTATACTATTCCAGAATGTTTTAAAAACATTAATAGTATAGTCTTGACACACATATGCCTGTAATGTCAATTTACATTTTATCAGCTTGTAGAGTGTTTAGTCATGAATTAATTTTTACTATACATGCATACATTTTTATCACATTTATGAGCATGACTGAAGTTGTGTGTCATCCTCTTACAATTAGATTGAATTTTGAGAAACAGAGAAAGTATGGATGGGTGCTTAGATACCCACCCCATACACACAGTTGTACAAGTTCTTTCCATTTAATTCCATGTGGAACTCTGAGAACCTGTTTAAGATACACTAAGTGAACCTTATTCCCTAAGCTGCCAACTCCGTGATAAGGCAGCTATGAAGCCTGGACAAATTGTCATTACTGGACTTTGAGGCTGTAGCAACACGCTAACTCAGATTAAGTTATGACTGACTGCTCTACAGGCTCCTTTGGAGAAACAATATTGCAGACAAAGTTGATATCAAGTAGGATATCAAGCGAATAATTGCACTGTTAAATAATAAAATACAATTTGAAATATTTGTGGATGTTTGACATTTTCAAATATACGAATACAATTCAGAATACAAAGTGTACTGTGCTCAGTTTACATTTATTTTTATTACAATTAGTTGCACTGTAATTAGGGATGTCAGCGACTAGTTGACTACCCAAGGGAACTTGATTTAGTTGCTTCCCCCCTTGAAACCTCTAACAGAGAGAGGCAGCAAGGGGGAGGGTGAGCTGGTTCCCCCCAGCACCACATCTGTGGGGGGCAGAGGGGACAGTGGGAAAATGGTACAAACTGTGATTAAAACAGTCTTGCTGGTGCCAGTTCAACTGCTGCTCCTTGCCCTCTGAAATGTACAAGAGCTGCCTGTGACTCTTGTACATTTCAAACAAAGAGGCACAGAGAGGAACAGCTGTGTGTCTCTGAAATGTACAAAAGCCAGGAGAAGCTCTTCTGCATTTCAAAGGGGGAGAGGCAGCAGGAACCTGCTGGGTCTTTCCCTTTGAAATGTATAGAAGCCATGGGCAGCTCTTGTACATATTAAAGGGAGAAGCGCAGCGGGATGGTGAGCACCCGCTTTATTGACTAATTGAGTAGTCGATGGAAATTCCATCAACTATTCGATTAGCTGATTAATCAAAATTTAATATCCCTAACTGTAATGCAACCTCTTTACCATGCAAGTTGAATTTACAAATATAGAATTATGTACAAAAATTAACTGCATTCAAAGATAAAACAGTGTACAACTTTATAGCCTGTAAGTCCATGCAACAGTATTTCTTATACAGCCAATTTGTTTACATTTGCAGGAGATAAATGCTGCCCCCTTCTTGTTCACAATGTCACCTCAAAGTGGGAACAGGCATTCACATGGCACTGCTGTAGCTAGCTCTGCAAGATATTTACATTCATAAGACCCTTCCTGCTTCAACCAGCAGTCCAGAGGACATGCTTCCATACTGATGATGGGTTTTGCTTGGTAATGATCCAAAGCAAAGCGGAATGACATCTTCATTTTCATCACCTGTGTCACATATGACCAATAAAAGTTCTTATTTTTTGGAGGCTCTGAGTTCTGTTGTTTCCACATTTGAGTGTTGTTCTTTTTAAGACTTATGAAAGCATACCCCGCATCGCGTACTTCTCAGGTTTTGGACAGCGCTTAAGATTCTTAAATCTTGGGTCAAGTACTATTGCTATTTTTAGAAATCTCACACTTTAGAAATCTCACACTTCTTTGCATTTTGTCAAATCTGCTGTGAAAATGTTGTTAAAATGAACATGTGCTGGGTCATTATCCGAGACTGTTATAACACGAAACAAGGCAGAATGCAGGTATAAGAGCAGGAGACATACAATTCTCCTTCCAAAGGAGCTCAGTCATGAATTCAATTAAAACAAGCATCAGCAGCATGGAAGCATATCCACTGGAATAGCGCCTGAAGCATGAAGGGGCACCAGGGATGTGAAGGTTTAACCAGCTAACCAGTGGGGGCTGGAGCACTTACAGTAGGCAGTGGGCTTCTCCAGCCCCGCAGGGGCACCTACTGAAGACAGGGGCTGCTTCAGCATCCTGGCCGGTACAGCCTTAGTCTGCAGCAGGTTTGGCCTACCTGCAGGCAGGAGCTGCTGGGACTGGGGATGGCAGAGCAGCCCCTGCCTGCAACTGGGGGAAAAGAAGGGTTATTCTGCTCCTGCACTCACCCCCACTTTAAGAATCATAGAATACTAGAACTGGGAGGGACCTCAAGATATCAAGTCCAGTCCCCTGCCATCACTGCAGAATCAAGCACCATCTAAATCATCCCTGAGAGACGTATGTCTAACCTGCTTTTAAGTATCTCCAATGATGGAGATTCCACAACCTCCGTAGGCAATTTATTCCAGTATTTAACTATCCTGACAGTTAGGAAGTTTTTCTAAAGGTCCAACCTAAACCTCCCTTTGCTGTAATTTAAACCCATTGTTTTTTATCCTATCAAAGGTCCAGGAATACAATATTTCTCCCTCCTCCTTGTAACACCCTTTTAGATACTTGGAGAATGCTATCATGTCTCCTCGGAGTCTTCTCTTTCCCAAACTAAACAAACCCAATTATTTCAGTCTTCCCTCACATGTCATGTATTCTAGCCTTTTAATCATTTTTGTTGCTCTTCTCTAGACTCTCTCCAATTTGCCCAAATCTTTCTTGAAATGTGGTGCCCAGAACTAGACACAATACTCTGAGGCCTGAGGAGAAGAAGGGGATCATCAAATGAAATGAATAGGAAGCAGGTTTAAAACAAACAAAAGGAAGTATTTCTTCATGTAGCACACAGTCAACCTGTGGAACTCTTTGCCAGAGGATGTTCTGAAAAACAGGACTTTAACAGGATTCAAAAAAAGAACTAGATAAATTCATGGAGGATAGGTCCATTAATAATTATTAGTCAGGATGGACAGGAATGGTGTCCCTAGCCTCTGTCTGTCAGAGGCTGGAAATGGGTAACAGGAGAGGGATCAGCTGATGATTACCCTTTCTGTTCATTTCCTCTGGGGCATCTAGTGTCGACTATTGTCGAAAGACAGGATATTGGGCTAGATGGACATTACCTCTGACACAATAGGACTGTTTTACGGTCTTAAGTTCTAATCAGAGTAGAGGTGAAGAATTACTTCTCATGTCTTGCTCACAACACTCCTGTTAATATATCCCAGAATCATGTTTGCTTTTTTTTTTTTTGCAACAGCATCACAGTTGATTCATTTAGTCTGTAGTCCATTATGACCCCTAGATCTTTCTACAGCACTCCTTCTTAAACAGTCACTTCCCATTCTGTGTGTGTGAAACTGATTTTCCCTTTGTAAGTGGAGTACTTTGCATTTGTCCTTATTAAACTTAATCCTATTTACCTCAGACCATTTCTCCAGTTTGTCCAGATCATTTTGAATTATGACCCTATTCTCCAAAGCAGTTGCAACCCTTCTTAGCTTAGTATCATCTGCAAACTTAATGTACTCTCTATGCCAATATCTAAAACGTTGATGAAGTTATTGCACAGAACCGGTCCCAAAACTAACCCCTGCAGAACCACACTTGTTCTGCCCTTCCTGCATGACTAAACAATTAATAACTATTCTCAGAGATCAGCTATCCAGCCAGTTATGCAGCCATCTTATAGTAGCCCCATCTAGGTTTTATTTCCCTAGTTTACTGATAAAAAAGTTATGCAATACTGTATCAAATGCTTAGCTAAAGTTCAAGTATACCACATCCACCACTTCGCCCTTATCCACAAGACTTGGTATCCTATAAAAGAAAGCTATCAGATTGGTTTGACATGATTTGTTTAATCAGTTAGCCAATTAAATGGGATTTTACATCCTGAAGGGGCACACAAATGTTTAGCATATCTAACACGTAAATACCATGCAACACTGAATGAATGAATTGCCTGTTCTCACTTTCTGGTGACATTGTAAATGAGAAGCCAGCAGCAATATCACCTGTCAATATAAACAAACTTGTTTGCCTAAGCATTTGTCAAAAGAAGGACCACGACTGAGTGGACTTGTAGAATAATATTTTGCATGGTTTTGAGTGCAGTTAAGTAACCAAAGGGGAAAAACCCCACCAAACTACATGTGTAAGTTACACTTTCATAATAAGAAGATAGTATTTTTCTGTTCACCTTACACAAGTACTGTAGTGCTATTTCTTTTGTTGTATATGTACAAGACCTTTGAATTAAGCAACTTAAGTCACATGCAACAGTACAATACTATGCAGCAGTTTATACAACGCTATAATTATTATTTACAGTAAAGCAACATTTCATTACAAAGAAACATTAAAATACCCACCTAAACCAAGAAGTCTGGAGAAAAATTGTGCAAAAAAATATAAAACTTCTCAAAATAAGCCAAAAAGTTTCCCCCAAGCATATGGTAATATAGTCATTCCTGGACAGGTATAAAGATATTATTTTGTACAATCTACCTAACGGGTGTTAATCTTCCAGCCTAATCAGCTAGACTGCAGGTTAGTTTAAGACTGTACCAATTTCAGCCAGCTGTCATTAACAGTGATGCAGGATTTTCTTTGTTCTAGACTCCCACAGTTCCAGGACAGCTGTGGAAAGCAGTTAACTAAGTGTTTAACAGCCTGATGCAAAAACTTCCTCATGAAATGCTTTCCACATAGCTAGGCTACAGAGGATAGACTAAAATGCTAAATTACAACTTTTCCATAGCTGCCATAGAGAAAAAAAACAGAAGTGGGAAGAGATGGAACTAGAAGAGAGAAAAATTCATTGAAAAGAAAGGGTCAGAAGCAGAGTATTGTAGGGGAAAGAAAGGATAACAAAAAGGAAAAATAACTCTCCACATTTTCCCTCCCCAATAAATAAAAGTGTACTAATTCAAAATGTTAGTTTGCCACAACATTCTACCCTTATAAACTTTGTGGAAAGCCACAACTGAATTTTACAAAGATGCACACTATGAAGTATGGTTAGTATCTAACCCAATTTTAACCATATTAGCCCAGGATCCCCAAGTTAAATAAAAGATATTTAGCTCACCACAGTATGAGTTCGACATCACTGACCTACCTGGCGGCATACCAGGCATAAGAGGTGGTATTCCTGGCCCAGGAGGCATCATTCCACCCATTGGCATCATCCTATTAAAACATAAAAAAATAGACTAATATAAGCACTACAGATGTCCTATTGAGGCCATCTGCACACACAAATATTAAGCTAAAGGTGCTATAAGTAAGCTAGTTATTTCCACTGATTCAGGAATTCAAGTTGCCTTGATTCTCAGTAGACAAGCCAGTCCTCAATATAAGAGGTTCCACTGTTAACAGGAAGAGAATTATTTTTCACATGGGACTCAATTCTTTAAGATGACAATCAATCAGATATCTGATCAGACTCCCAGGCCTAGTCTCTCTATTAAAAAGATATTCAAGCATGCCCTTTTAGTTAATTGGCTCTGTTTCAATGTGAAGTGGCCTGCTAATATATAGTATATCAAGTATCTTCCTAAGCTATATTAGTACCTCTCTAACAAAATACCTGAGAAAATTTGTTTAAATTATGCTGTTTCATTTTTGAAGACTTCAGGAGAAAATAAAGGAGTCTAAACTTGAACGTGTAAAAGACAGTCAACCTGAAATCAAGTTATAAGAAATATTAGACAAAATTTTCAGCTAGTACATTTGTCTGAGATCTCAAGCCAATTTTGGTGAATACACAGCCACATCTTCCTATTTTAAAAAAAATGTTGGCTGACAAACAGGTAAAGCCAACCACATAAAATTCCATCAATTGCACTGAAAACTTTCTGATGTTTCAATTTCCAATAATTTTACCTATTCTTTGAATAACAATATGATTTTCAAGTTGACAGCACCTAAGGCCATGCTTGGTCTCAGAGGCTACGTCTACACTGCAGGCTTTTGCAGGCAGAGAGTATGCTAATGAAGTGCTCATTAGCATTTGTAATGATGTCATTTGCATAGTCTCTGCCAATGCTTTTTGAGCAAAAAGCATCAGCGGAGAATATGTAAATGACAGCATGGCAAATGCTAATGAGCACTTCATTAGCATACTCTCTGCCAGCAAAAGCCTGCAGTGTAGACATAGACTAAGAATAAATTCCTCCCACCTACTAGTGGTATTTTAGGAAGATATGACTCAAGTTTCCTCTAAGACTGAACAGTGGTGTCCTGTTAGCCCCTCCTACTATCGATCAGTGGCTGCTAAACTGCATTAAAATAAACTAAAAAGACATTAAATACCATCCTACTATTATTTTTAAACTTAAGCAATTTAGTTCCCACACAAATTTTATTAAATAGGAGGCAAGGTGTCCACAAGATACCATATGAAGAATGAAGATTCTTGAACTAGTAGTACCTGCAACCAGGTTAGGGAAAATAATCAGGGCCCCCCGCCCCTGGCTCCTCAACTCTTGGATAAGGGAGGTCCTCTCACTGCCATCATGAAGATAAACTTACAAGAAATAGCCAGGGTATGATGTTATGAAACAGACATTTTTTCCCTAGAGTCTGAAATGAACAGGACTAAACTATAGTAAGTCAGAAGAAATTATTTCATAGGCCAAGGCTAGACTCATTTCTCCTGATATTCCCTTATTAAAAAAAAAAGTGGAAATCCATTTTAGTTTAAATTAGGCTTTAAACCAGTAACAATAAAGTCAATTTCAATCTGTAAAACCAGTAAAGTTTGACAAATTATGTTCCTTACTATCTGCAACTTAGACAAGGAACTTTAAGGGCAACTCAGACTAAAAACCAGCAGCCTCCTGACTGCAGAAAGAAGTCTTTCAAGCTATAAGTTTTAAAGCCAAACAGAAAAAATATCCTCATAGACTGCATCTGCAATAACACCATACCACCACTTTTTGGAATTCAAAAATTGTGTATTACATTAAGCATTTTGCTTCAAAAATATCTTGATTAAAAACCAAACTCCCGTCTAGTCACAGGGAGTGACCAAATGAAGCTGACCAAATGAAGCTGCATACCTGCTGCAAAATGAAAAGTGAAGACAGAAACAAGACAGCTATTGCAATGTTATCTCCCTTTGTTTTGTCTTTGGAGATCCCTAATTATTCTTAGCAAGGAAAACATGAAACTGTGCAAAATACAAAACCAAAAGTCATATAACTCTAAGAGAACTGAATGAGGGGAGCTCAATGGCAGGTTTCATTTGACATAAAACGGCATAATGAATGTACCTAAATCACATTAATTAGATGCTTACATGTTTTCACCGCAAAATGACTGCATGTACTTTCTCTGTTGATGTAATCTGTGAAAATGTATGACAAAAATCAAAAAATCTAACTGATTTTCCAAACACATTGTGATAGGGTGCTATGTGTCAACTATATAAACAACTTAAACTTCATCTGAACACTCTAGAACCAGTCTGTGTACATCTCATTTAACAAAAATCTTAAACTGACTAACTTGCTTGTTTCTCATTGGATCCACAACCAATGAGAACAAAAGAAACTGATGTAATAATATATCTGAACAGCAAACTTTGACAATGGGTTCACGGAAGGGTTTAAACCAGCAAAGCAAGATTTTACATCCAATTACATTAATCTGGTGGCTGGAACAGAAGAGGAGTGACATCATCACATTTACATCCAATCTGTTAAATTTAGTGACATTTTGAGGTTGGTGTATAGCCTTCCAGGCCCTATGCAATTTAAATTAACAATCATGTTTATAATCCCCCCCAAGGTTTTGATTTTTTTCTAAAACAGTTCAAAGCCACTAAATCAGATTTAGATAGCAAGTTGCTAGTGTGCAAAAAACACTGCATGAACACAGGCCAACTGATTTAAGATTATGTTTTTAATC